ACTGGAAGGTGATAGTAGCGGCCCGACGAACCGAACGGGGATCCCTGCCATTCCCACGGCCGCCGTTGTCCGACAGAGTTTCAGCAGAAAGATGCCGAGCAAACGCAATAGGGACTGACTGGCTACGGTGACCCCGGCGCCGGTATCCACCAAGGCTAACCTTTCCTTATTGGCCCGGACCTGTATTTGCGCCACGAAGTATGATTGTGTGGTATCCAGGGAAAGTACCGCGACGGACACCTCGGCCGTGGTTATTACATCTTTAAGTTGAAGTTGAGAAATGGTACGATTTGGAGGAAGGCGGTGTTGTGGTATAGTTATGGGTAGGGTTACCCTGTGCGAACCCCGGGGACTCCGATGAGGCAAACCGGGGGTGTGAGGCCGGGAGTCGCCGGAAATCGCTGCCCTTGTAACCAAACGGATGGAGTCTTATGTAAAGTAGTGTAATTGTCCTAACTATGGAGAGGGTGACGAGTCCGCAACAAATGGTAACCCATAAATCGAAAACGGAAAAAAAGAAAAGAAAGGCAGAAAAATGGATCCGGCCGGTACTCTTGATGACGTTGTTTGTTCTGCATGCCCCAATCCGGATGCGACCGTGGAGTGAAGTGATCCAGGAGTCTGCTATGGTCCCGTGCTATCCACCACTCTAGCAGCTGATGTTCACTATTGACTCCACTGAAATTAGTCAAAATGAGGCTATGGAAGACTGTGAGAGGAGGTGCTAGTGATACCGCAGCTAAGTGAGGTAGTGACGGAATCGGTATAATATCACGCGAGGGTACAGTGGATCATGTTCCTTCCGTAGGAATCTTTGCAATCAACTGTGGAAGCTTGTTTGTGGAGAACACCAGTAGCGGGATCCATGAAGGTTCGCATCGTCACTCCCCTGGGGAGGCGTAGCTCGACTAGTGGGTGATTATAACACTGGTGTTGAAAGGAAGAAGACGTACTGATGACGGGGGAAGGGCCACATGGCGGCGAACTTCGACGTAACCTTCGCCTAGAGGAGATACGAGATATCCTGGTGATTTAAGAGAGCTCGCATGATAAGAGTCGGAGAGGTTGCCAACGCAGCGTGAAGCGAGACCGTCATGATGTTCGTACGGACGCATAAAGTGCGCAAAGCGTTACGGGAGAGGACGCTTACGGAAAGAGTGTCGCACCCTCCACCGCGAGAAGCTGGGCTGCCAACTGGTTATATGTTACTAGGCCCACCGAATCCGAAACCTGGCGTGTTCTCCGTTGAGAGATCTAGATGGCACCCTTGATCGGTAATTATAAGTTCCTTTAAACAATCGGTTATTCTTGGGGAACGGTCATTCCATGGGAGGGCAAATTCTTTGTTGCTACTCATCCATATGGCAACCATCATGTGGCCGGACATGCGTGTACCGTGGTGTAAGAGCACTCTTTGCCACGATCGTGTGTCCAGACCAAGATCGAGCCATCAGATAGCGTACACGTACCGCCCATCTATGAGCATGTCCCCATGTCACCCATTGGGGACAGTGGGGATCGGTCGGAGTGCCGGGCATTGACTGTTGTGTTGAAAAAGTAACAGTTGAAAACCTCGGTGGAATGGTCTACACAACACCCGAACGGGGTCGATGGGAAGTCAAATGCGAGGATATTCTGAGTGTGCCATAGGTCAGAAGTTTCTATCATTTCACCGTCAAAACAACGATGGTGCAAGGCCATCTTACGGCATTCCTCAACGGTACAGGTGACATGGTTTCGACGTGGTGTTCCCGGTGCATACCGAAAAAAAAGTGGAGTAGGAGACGGAATGGCGGACGATTCTATAATAGAAAGCTGAAGAAGAATACAATTGAGTATTAGGACAATAAACGTAAAGAACGACCCTTCCAGAGGTTCAGAGATGTTGGGCAACAGCCCTGAATAATTTTGATAGTTTGGCAAAAAACAGAAGGTAGATGGTTGGTTGTCCGACGGGCAGGGTCATGCTTTGAACGCTTTAGTAGATGAAGTGAGTGAGGCAAGAGATAATACCACGCAGAACAGAAGGCGAACGTCGGGGAGGTGTACGGAGTGGGTCGAAGGGACAGATGGAGCGTAATGCTCGGCATTTCTGCGTAAAAGGGCCGCAATACATGCCTGGGATTGCCTCAACTGGGCCTGTGAATCTCTGAGAGACGTGGATAGGGCGGCGATGTCTACGTTTGAGTCCGATGCTAATGCGAGCGGGAGAGCATTGGCGCGCGGAAGACGACCTGTGTCCGAAGGGGACCCGGGGTGCTGATCTGGGGAAGCGTGACGCCGCGGGGATGAGCAAGCTGAAGCAAAATGTCCGAAACTGCGATAGTTACAACATCGAACTAGGTTTGTTGGGGTCAATGTTCGCTGGGGCGGTGCGTTCGAGGCCGAAGCACGAGGTCGAAAGGCAGGGCATGTAGGACCGCTCCGACGAGCTGAGCCACGACCCAGTACTTGGCGGTTATCTCCCGGGACGACTGCCGAAGTAGGCGCAGTGGAGTGCAAAAGACGTTCCGCTGTCGCCTCGCTGAGAAGCTACTCCACCGTCTGCGCTTTGTTCACGGCTTGCTCGAACGACGTCGGTCCATCCAGTTCCACGCAGTACCGAACATCTCCACGGAGGCGGGACCCGAACTCCTCTAAGACGTGGTCTTTCTGAGTAGCTGGGTCCTGACCGGAAGTAGCGGCGCGGACAAGGTTCAGCACTCGGTTAGCGAACGATGTGCACGATTCACCGACCTCTTGACGGCACGCTGCCAATTGCTGACGCACTATATATCGCTGATGGGAGCTCTCGAAAAACGAGAGTAAGTGCGAAACTATGGCTGGGTAGCTATTTTTCGCAGCTTCATCTAGCTCCTCTACTTTTCCCGAGCAACGATGTCAAGATGCCCTATGAGGAAATTAGTGCGTTGCTAGTCCGAAAGGGGGGCCGGTCGCGTACGCATCACATCCTCAAGGGGATATAGACAGATTGAGAATTGCATCCCGTTCTCACTAACCCCGGAGGAATAAGTGACCCGTAGAGTAGGAGTATCCGAATGAAATATCGCACCTGTCGGCATATTGTCAAGACGTTTTCCTACCGCTGCAAGATACTCTAAGCTAGTCTTGCAGGGAGGCATTGCGTTCGTTGATCTTGCTAGTAAGCAATGCGTCGTGGCACAGGTGTCGTTCTAGACCTGCTCAATGGCGGATGTGGTGGCATCGCGCAGCGCCTTGGCGTCTCGCCCATAAAGTAGAGCGTCGTCGGAGACGTCGTCGAAGATGGAGAATGGTAACTCCTTGGTTAGGTCCAAAGACTCGGTGTTTGTGTCAAAGGGGGTCGGGCAAAAACCTCATCAGGGGGAATAGAGCCCGACTCAACTTGCCTGCGAGTGAACGGCATGAAGACAAAGACTGTGCTACTGACTGGAAGGCAATATTGGATACCAAGAGAGGGTACGATCAAATCTTAGACGACGAAGGAGGGGCGGTGCTCCATGTGTTGAGAACGCAGACGTGATTGAGCTGTAGAATAATTCCGTGCAGCTTTGATCTCTTATCAAAATAAATGTTATGAGAACTTGTGAGCCTGCGTTCCCCGCATAGCCAGCGGCAGATTCCGGGACGGGATCTCGTCGCGAAGGTGGGAAAGAAAACATCCAGCACTCGCCTCCGCTGGGAGCTAAGTTATGGAATCACTTTTGTTGTGGGAAGACGCTTTGTCGGCGAGAAATCTCAACCCCGCGATGGCGTGGAGAAGGGAAGAGGAAATCCTTAGAAAACCGCGAGGAAACAAAAATCCCTGCGCGATCCGCAGCGGTCAACAGTTCGCTCTCATTCCCGAGAAAATAATCACAGTGGTGGAAAAATCGCAATAGTGGGAAAAGGTCTTGTTGCTAAAGTTTAAGACGTAATCTTTATGATGAGACAATCGTTCAATCTCTCAACGTGAAAAAATTCTTTGTTTTATTCGCGTTGGTACTTCTGCCGGTCCCTCACCGACCCCCGATTCTTGAGACGTCTGTTCGCTGGCATTTTCAAGAAGCTAAAGGGAGCATGAGAATGTCAGCGAACGGCTACATGAACCGTCATAGAGCAGAAAAACGGTAGAGTGTTGGGAAGCATGCGCTGAGATGCTTCCTGAGATATGAGTGAAGCCGCATAGCGGAAAGAGATAGAACCGTTTAGATGAGTCAGTAATCGAGGAAGGAATCGTAGTTATATCGACACAGGAGAATTACAAGAAATAAGTAAATTATAGTAACGAAGAGAAAAGTAAAAGGTTAGAGTATTGAATGGGAAAAAATAACGCTTAACAGCGGCCCTGCTACTACAAGAGCTGACTTTTATGATATTCAAAATGCGTGCACGATCACAATTTACTTAAACACATGATTACTGTGCTTGGAGCTATAAGGACGTTGTCCTTGCGCGCGTACTCAGTTATTCAAAAGGGTTTGTCGTCCACTCCTACATTGCGAAAGTACTGCCATCACAATGACGCGAGAGATCAAAGAAAAATAGCTAATGTATCACAAACGGGACGTCTCTTCGAAGTTTCCGGACCCTTATTGTGAAGTAGAAGATCACTGATAGGATGAAGAACACTACTAATCGCATTTTTATGAAGTGTCGAATGGCTGACCATAGGTCTTCACCGAAGGCACAGCCACATGTGCAAGGTGCAATGAAAGCTAAAGTGAAGCGGAAAAAGCCGAAGGAAAGGAAGAAAAATGAGGAAATAGAGAATGGATGCCGGCGATAAGCGGAGGACGCCTGCCACTAGTGGAACTATCCGTGGCTATCGGATCGTGCCAGCCAGGTTGTGGTGACTGGCTAGCACAAATGAGAGTTGAAAGAAGAAAGAAAAAAAGAAAGTTCATTATGAAAGTGTGCACAAACAAAACGAAGACTGACGTGGCTTCCACTGCGTGCAATCGCACTCGCTGCTACCAGTACTAAGCTCCGTTTTTCAGATGTAGAGTAGACACAGAAACATGTAGTCTATCATTTATCGATTATATGCAGTTACAGGAGAATAGCAAGCACTGAATAAGTGAAGTGCCGAGCCTCTCCAGACCCGAGGCGAGGGAAGCCGTGGTGGTCGACCTCGTCTTCGGCTCCATCGTAGAGCCCAGCCGGCCGTCGTCGATCTCGTTGTCCATGCTGCTCCCTCCATTCCCTTTTGTATTTCCGCCGCTGCCTCCTGTAATCAGTTCTCATCATCGGCGTCGCGTTAAGCTTACTGTTTGAGAAACGTCATCTATTGATCATCGTTATAACACCAACTCACACACTACCAGGAAATTAATTAGCAACCTACAGTATCTCACACCTACATCACCTACAACTCACCGCAAAATTACATTTCGTCAAAACTAGTTTTGATGACCGTCAAGGTAACCTTTGAAGCTTCCGAAAGCATGAACTTGTCGAGGCTTTATTCTTGTCTGATGCCGGAGCTTAAAAACGGTAAGTGGAAAAAAATAGCGAATGAACTGACTATCGAAACCCTCTATTGAGCTCTGCACTATGTCTGACATTGGAGGCTATATGAGAATTTCAAAAGGGGCATAGTGCTGACAAAAATAATTACAACTTTTACGGAGGAAATTGAATTCAAATTCAAACAAAGCCTAGTGAACGGCCTTCCAAGTGTCAAACTAAGTTTGGTTCTTGGCACCTCCTCCGATAAGCGGTAGCGACACCAGTCAATATAACAGTTTATTAGAAATCAAAGCTGACAGGATGAATTCCATATAGCGTGCTGGCGACGGCGAACGGCTTGTCTGACGATAGGCGAATCCGATGCTGACTGAGGTCCATAGGTTAAGCAGCGGCGGCGACGGCGAGTCCAAGTCGACGCCTGACCACGCGTTTTATACGGAGCTCGCGAGGACCATACGGAGGAGTCAAAAAAGGTAAAGATCTGGAAAGCAGCATGACGATATCCTTTTGATAATGAGGTCGGACAACCATCGTTGGAACCATTACCGGACCAGCTTGGCTCTGTTGGCTCTAGTACTATCTTGCTGGAAGGACTTCCAGCCGTTTCAGGGAGCGGAGTCGGATCTGCGCTTCAGTATGCTTTTTGAGCCCATATCTTTGCCTTTTTTCACGCCAGTACCGTCTAAACCAGCGGCGTCTCACTTGCCAGTGACTCCCTCGAAAAACTCACTCTGCTTTTCTTATTGCAACTTTTTTTGCGAGAGATTGGATGTTCGATGTTTATTGCCAGAATGTGATCGCTTTATCTCTTGAGGAAAGGTTTTTTCGTAAAAATTTCTTAGCTAGAGAAAACGATGAAAGTTGCGCCTCTCCACTCAGGTGAGTCAGTAACTTCCTGCATTTTTTGCACTTCCTGCACCACACTGTCTGTTGAACTTGGAAACGAAGTGGCATTTCTGCGTAAGGTCGGAGTCGTAACGAAGTTTCTGCTTGACAATCGGTCCCATCGACAAACTCGATAAGTCCTGCTCCTTTGCCATTTTTTTGACGGGTCACCCAGGATCACGGCTGGCTCGCAAAGGGAACATTTTAATAGCTCTAACTAAGCTTTGATAGCTTCAGGAACACTGCCTTTTTACCCCCTTCTTTTATAGTCTTTCACTGAAATATTTTCTCTGTATTGTTTAAAGCATTATGTACGGATATTATAGCAATCACGAAGAACTGCAGAATGCCCTTCGGCCTCCCGCATGCTAGTGGTTGCGAGTTTACTTCTCCGTCAACGGAAATCATTAATGAAGGAAGTCTTTGATTACAAAACAGGATGGAACTCCCGGCCCAATCCAGTCATTTGTATTAGATGGAATAAATAACGAAGCAGGTCCATGATGCATGCATCGTTTTCCCAAGTCTCATTTCGGGACAATTCTCGAGAGAGAAAAATAGCCTGTCGGTATTTGCTGATGACAGCAATATTGTTGTCGACCTGCGCCTACACATAGTGCAATTTAACAAGCGAGGTCACGAAGTCACGTCATTGATTAACGGAAAAACAAAGTTAAAGCCTAAAAAGGTGAAACAAACTACATATATGGCGTCCTGAATTGATTGCAAGCTAATGACAGCCAGACAAGGTAACAGCATAGGCTGAAGTACGATGTGCATAAAATCTTGACTGCATCTGATAGCGAAGGCTTGTTTTGTTGGCTGAGAAGTTGCAGAAAAAACTTTTTGAGAATTAACGCACAAAAAAGTTGCTGAAATCAAGGCCAAACTTAATTCCAATGGCATTTCCACCAATTCTTCCCACGTTGCTACTGCTTACAAAACAACGGATGCAAGAACTTTCAATTGTATTAAACTAAATAGAAACAGACGAGAGTGACTAGCTTAAAGGTCCGCGTTCGCTAAGAAGGCATTTGAAACGTGACCATCAACTCAAATGGAATCAATCGAAATCATCAGCGAGGGATCTGAATCGGTGAGAGAAAAGATTCTAAACATTACAGTCATGCAAAAACTGGGAGCACAGGAACACTTCGATCTATGTCGATTCTCCAGCCTGAGTAAAGCGCTAATGTCGAGTAGTTCCACGGGTCTGCAAAATAGCAAAACACTCGACCCACTCAACAAACAAAAATCGATTTTCACAGTAAGAGCAGAAGTGATTTCGAAATTTTCTTCTGAGAAGGAAATAGTAAGTAGCAGTATCGAATTGTCCAAACGCATGTTTGTAGTGGAACAGTGAACTTTGATAATTTACAAATCATTTTTTGGAATAGAAACTAATAGGAGATGAAAATGAGATCAACTTAAGAGACCAGATTTCAATACAATCCCTTCAAAGTTTGACTTAGTATTATGAGTCTCGCCTCCAACATGCCGCCCTGCCGACATGATACCAAGCCACATGTACCTCCATGGTCAGAAATCGTTCGATTGATTGTGCAACAAATTCACTGCGATAATGCTCGCTGCGGCAAAGAGCATACCCTAACTATAGCGCGCCACAGACTTTAGATTCCGCGGACCTGAAGTACATTCAAAAAGTGTTCCAGAAACTGCGTCATTTGCAAAAAAATATCGAAGGCTGCCATCAGGTACTTCTATAACGCCTGCTCTTCCCAAAGACAGAGTGTCGCAACAACACCATCCCTATGCGATGCAATGTTAGGGGACAGTTTACTCTGAAAGCACAGGAAGAAACGTGTGTAGCTTTATACACTTGCCTGACAAATACAGCGTCTCGAGTTTGTGGAGAATATGAAAATGAGGGCATTTTTTAGCCTATTTCGAAAAGAAGTGCTCCGAAATTGATGGGCACCGATGCGGAACTAATCCTAACCAAGGTGAGCAAGTTATAGCCAAAATATCTGAGGATGAAATCATCAGAAAACTTATTCATGCCCTATTGCTCAACTAAAGGAATTGAATGGATTTTCAGTTCATTCCCTAAATGTGTGGCGTTTAAGAAGAATTCGTTGCAGCTGTGAAAAAAGGCACTGCATAAATCATGGGACGTAAAAAGCTGCGTTCTACTGGGAGTCCACGACAATGACAAGAATAGAGGCGATTTTCAACATGAGACCTCAAAGAAAACTGAATTCGAACGACGTCACAACGATATGCCTGCTGCTCTATGCCACTAGGTTTTCTTGGAAAAAATCTCAAGTTTCGATTTAAGAAGTTGAAACTTTGAAAACATTAATGATACACCCTAGTAGAAGTGAGTAATTCTGCCTCGTGAAGAAAAGTACAGGCGCGGCGCACTACATCAATCGACGCAGAAATGCATCACTAAATGGAAACCTTGGAGGCTTGAGTTGCAATTCTTACTGTTTTCCAGCAATATAGAATGCAGTGCAGAAAATACCACACTTAAAGGCACCGTTTACAAAAAGTTAGGGTACCCTTTTTTGAGGGGAATTGATAGAACTACTCTAGAATAAAGCGATAACAACGAAAAAAGCGCAAAAAACGATGAACAAAAAGAATTGCAAAGGGTCAAAAAAAGAGCTGGAAAGGGGGTTGGACGAGTTTCACACCAAAAAACGGCAGTTAGGGAGTGTTCGGGCGAGTGCACGAAGGCGACGCAATGTGTTATCTGCAATAGCAGACAACACATTGCGTCTCTGGCAATTTGCCAACCAGCTTATCGACTTTTCACCAACTTCGCTCCAGTGCGAATGTGGTGAAGGACAATTAGAACTCGTAGTCAGCCTAGCGAGGGGCGAAGGCCTCCCGTCCCCCACTGTTCCTGCCCTTATTGTGCCCTATCCAGCCGTTTTCCGACCTCATTCCTGCACAAATGGTATCAGAGGGGGCTGCGAATTCAAACCATNAAAAAAAGAGCTGGAAAGGGGGTTGGACGAGTTTCACACCAAAAAACGGCAGTTAGGGAGTGTTCGGGCGAGTGCACGAAGGCGACGCAATGTGTTATCTGCAATAGCAGACAACACATTGCGTCTCTGGCAATTTGCCAACCAGCTTATCGACTTTTCACCAACTTCGCTCCAGTGCGAATGTGGTGAAGGACAATTAGAACTCGTAGTCAGCCTAGCGAGGGGCGAAGGCCTCCCGTCCCCCACTGTTCCTGCCCTTATTGTGCCCTATCCAGCCGTTTTCCGACCTCATTCCTGCACAAATGGTATCAGAGGGGGCTGCGAATTCAAACCATGTGCGAATCTCCGAAACCACATTTTCGTGAACAGTGCCTTTAAGAGCTGGTGGATGCTGTTAGTAAACAAGCTACTAGTGAGCTACTAGCTACTAGCTACTAAGTTGTTAGTAAGCACTAAATAAGTGTGACAAAGGAACGCTGGCTTCTCATTTTGGGGACTAGTTATGTCTGTGTCATGTTAACCAGTTCTGAAAGGCAAATCTTATAGAAGGCCTAATGCGCAACAGATATACTCGAGCTTTACTCACATCCTCAACATCAATGGGTTCGAGAGAATTTAAATTCTTCAATCTGCTTTTAAGGACCAGACTATTTTCGGAAAGCACCACTTCGCTAGCAAGACGCCGAAACCACCTGGCGATGCGATAGAAAAGAAGATGAACACCTACTCACGACTTCTGTTCAAGATTTAGATAATCTAAACAAAAACGATTTCCTCTTTCACTACTAAGCCTGAATAACCAGCACTTGCTTGGGAGCAGCTTGAATTTCTTACGAAAGATTCGAGATCCGAACACAAGATCTGAAACAGTTCTCTTACAGTTCGCAAAGTCAGTTCTAGCAAAGTTTCCAACCCTAGATGTTTCAGCCTCTGTCCAGATCTGGAAGGCTGCATCTGTTTGAACCCTTGTTGATCCGAAGAAAGACCAACCTCGTGAGCGTACTCTGAGGTTTTTCAAGCCTTATCATGCCTTTTTTGAAAGTAGCACTCCAAATGAGCAACATAGGTTTTGTAGAGTCGGATAAGTATGTTGGGTTTATCGCTACAAACATTCCGAAAAGTCGTAAACAGGGAACTGTAGGTTTCCCTGGCCGCATACTCGACATCAATCGGAAACTCCAGGTCACCGTTAATAAGTACACCTGAATCTTTAGTTAACACATATTTTTTTCAAATAGATACCATTGACGAACTCTCAGTGCCATATGCCTATCACTCAGGTAACATTTCACCCAACACGTAAGCTACCACCTATTCCGATCCTTTCAAGCATTAAATGTGGGCCAAGGGCGTGCAGAGCGGCAAGGCGCATTTCTTGAATACGATGGGTAGGAGACTATCGTGGGTTCTGTTATCGAAGGTTTGAGGCGCCCGAGAAGCCTGCACATATCGTCAGGATGAAAGTAAAAATCAGCGCTATTCGGCTGAAAAGATCGCAGGCCGGCGGTTGGCTCTCCAGCAGAAGTCGTAATTGAAAAGACACTCGCGAAAAATCACTTGAAGCAATAGATTCACTATAATCAGAATGACACACATCTCTTTCACGAGAAATAAC